CCCCCCCCCCCAACCCACCCCACCCCACCCCACCCCACGCCCCAAAAAAATGTAATCAGAACTAGTTTAATGGATAATGATCAAATGCTTTTCAGGGCTGGCGAAGCAAGAAGATTTTCCTCACATAATGTACTACTGCCCTCACTGTCATGCGTTAAACTCATCTCAACAACAACAAACTGTTGAGCTCGAATCTGGTACTCACTCTGGGATGTCAACTCCTTCAGCTTTAGCTGATGGTAGCCTTGTTCGTACTTTAAGCCATGCAAGTTCTACCTCAGGGGGCGAAGCCTCGCCTCGGATAACCACAGCTGTTCATGATCAATTTGCTGGAGCCGCCTGATGATTTGATGTCATAGAAATATGGTGGTTTTGGGGTTATTCATTTGTTTTATATTTGTTTATTCAGTGGTCTGTTTTGTACAGGAACTCTTGTCATTAGCAAATCATCGTATTACTAAATGGGTGGAGAGAAGTCGTGTGGGTCTTGGAGAATTTTGTTGATGTAAATTGATCAATTTTCGTTCTCTCCAAGGCATTAAGATTACAGTTTCTCGGGTTAATCATTGTTTCAGACCTGTGGAGAAAAAGGTACTGATTCTTTGCTGATATTTTTCTATCGTTAGAGCTGGGTAAATTGAGCTTTGATTTTGAGTTGATGAACCGAGGTGTTGTATTTACTAGCAAATTCATGTTGCTAACTAATGTTTAAAGAGTTTTCTGGAATGTGTGTCTTTCTGGAGGTGTTGTATTTTCCTCTGCAATGTAGCATTGCTTCATTTTAGAGTTGTTGCTTACGTGAGCATTAGACCCATTCACATTTTATATTAGACTTCTTTATGAAGCGAAGGTACTGTTTTATTTTATTTCGTTCTTGAGGGGCTTTTTTTCTTGACTCCAGCATGCAGATAATTGCAGTCTTTGAAGAAGGGAAAAGTAGAAGGATGGACATAACGGGATTTGAGAGGGTTCTTTGTTCTCCATTATGATACTACTATGTTTCCGATTTGAGTAATATTTGCTTTCAAGGGGACTCGGGCTCTTGATAGCATTCAATTACAAAAAAAATAGAAATGCGATACTTCCCTCTGTATATTTTCTCCTCCAATCTGCTTTACTCTATGACACGCCTAAGATGGAAACAAGGTTGCTGGGGTGGCAAACGCCAAGGCTTCATTGACCAAAGATAAGTACTTCGAATGAGAATTACTGGTCCAAATGTATTAAAAGCATGTTTGTTGCAACGGATTATGATTTTTTTTTTCCTTTTTTTTTCCACCCTGAAAACAGCTTCGGTAAAAGTTGGTGCCATTAGAGAAGGTAATTCTATCATAACTAGAATTTGACAACTTTTCCTATATCAATGTAATTAGAACAAAATCAAAATATAAACAGAAGTAAAAAGAAATGAGTGATTATAATTCTGAATTTCAATTGTGAGATAAATCAAGTTTTCTTATTCCAATGCCTTAGATTCGACTCTCCTAAGAAGAATTTAATTTTCAAGAATTGCCGTGTATATTGTTTGTGAGTAAGTTCCTCGTTCAAACTTTAAATAAATAAATAAATAAAATTCTCGCGTGCTATGATGCGGGACGTACGAGCCACCCACTTCTGAGGTTCACGGTGTTGGGTCCCAAATGCCAGCTAAACGTGTGTATACCATAAGGTGGGTGCTCGTAGTGGGTCCACGAAGAGTGTGGTTCTCGCTCTTTCTAGCATCACGTGACCATCCTTTATCATCAACCCATCAGTCTACATACCCTGACCCAATCCGTCCACGTTGCGACCGACCCCTTCCCCTCTATCAAACACACCGAGGTTCCAGGTGTCGCCAAAATAATCAAACCGGAGCGAGCCGTCGGCTCGAAGCGGAGTGAACGGTCGGTCCAGCGAGTTCTGATCGTTTTTATTGGATGCAATAGAGGCAGTTTGGAGCTAGAATAATAAATCGATTATGAGGCAGATTCTATTAGGGGGGGTGTTTGTTTCAAATCCTATAATTTTAGAATATGGATTTTATTATGGGATTTGAAATCCATAGGTGTTTTGTTATGGGTTGAGATTTTCAAAATATCGTTTGTTTCATTAATATTTTGGGATTTGGAATACTACAATTTGTAATATTTTGTTTGTTTCAAGCTCAAATTGTAGTATTACCAAATGCCAAAATTTTATAATATGATGAATATGCTATCTTGGTGAGGTTACCTCCCACAAAAAAACAAAAATGGGATTTATCAAATCCTCTCCAATTGAGAAGTAAGCACAACCATTTATGGGATTTGTCAAAATCCTCTCCAATTGAGAGAATTTGATAAATTCTAAAAATTGGGCACTTTTTGCATTCAATATTCTAAAAAATTTCTTAAAACAAACATCATATATGGAATCCCAAAATACAAAAAAAAAAACTTACTTTTTGATCCTAAAACTTATAATCCATACCAAATACTAAAATTTTTGGTGAAACAAACACCCCCTTAAAAGATTAGTTAAGAACAGTCACGGTGCGCTAAACTCATGCAGTAAGATTAATTCAAAACACTTTACGAGTCTATTATATTATATAAGGTCTTATCTTGCCTTTTTTACGAGAGTCTGTTTTTCTCATGTTTCGAACCCGCGACTTCTGGGTCACATGACAACAAATCCTACCATCAGACCATTGATTCGCCGATAAATCGTTATTATTATACAACTAAATTCCAGCCAAATTCGCCGCTAAAATCTTAGGTCTTCCTTTCGTCGACAATTTATTAAGATTTTCCTGTTTAAACCAACCGTATAGATATAGTCCGATGGAATCGAAACACCAAAATTTGAATGGTTTTGTTGTATACTCGAAATCAAAATTTATCAGAAATCCTTAAGTGCAACAAGTGAGCGAGTCCTCATCCGCTAAAAAGGCAAAAAGTGTCGGCTGTTTGGTTGATTTTCTAGAATCAGAGGATAATGATATCACTAAATCTTGTCTTCCATTCATTTTTTTCAAAAAAGAGTCATGAAATGAGTTTTCTTAAAATTTTGTCACATCCTCCAATTAGATGATGACGACTCATCTCATCTCATCTCTTTTCTAACTTTTAGAAGGTGAATCAAACAGAAGAAATGAGTACATTATAGTAAATAGGTTTCCATAATAAATTTTCTTTTTTTTAAACCAACCAAACAACCCCTAAATAATAGAAGATCATCCTATCAAATACATAGCATCCCAGTAGAACCGGGATTCTCGACCGTAATCTTAAACCACGAAGGGACCCACCATCCGAGAATGACGTGGCGCTCTCTCACATGCTTACCAACAAAACCACCCTGAGCAATTCTCCACAGCTGATCTTATCTCGGTCGCCCTCCGATCTGACCGCCGAGCCGCAGCCTCCCTTTGAGGACACGAGCGGCTCTCGGTCCCAGTCACTTTGCCTTCCTTTTTTCAAGGGGCGAAAAAATCATTCAGCATCCTAAAAAATTAATCAAAACAAAATATATAAATAATAATAATCTCTCTCAAGAATTCTTCCATATGTTTTACGTATATAGAAGAGTCGACTCCGTGTATATAAGCAAGTATTATACTCATATACCTGCAGTGTACGAGAAAGGCCCTTTACAGAACACCTTTCCCCTCTGAGGTGCACTCTGTCCTTTTTCTCCTATTTTTTAACCTTTAAAAAAATAATAAACAAACAAGCAAATAATTAGTTGAATACTCCATTGTTAGCTTGACACAAGCCTTAACCCAACTTCCTCTGTTTTGTTGGCCTTTGAGAATTTCAAGGTTCGGTGTTTCTCTTCTTTGCAATTTCTTTTCCCTTTTTGGAAATCATTACTGAGTGTTAACGTCTTTAATTTGATGGGTTTTTCTGATTACCTGTACTTTTTTTTTGGTGGGTTTTTTTTTTGGTTAGTAGGTGTTGTTAAAGAAAAAGCTGAAAAGATGTAGATTATGGATCTCATATTTGTTAATTATTGATGTCTTTATTCTTAAAAGATAACTTTTTTTTTCCCTCGATTTAAGTAGTTAAAACATCTTTATGTGTCCTATGTTTCTCAGTAATCTATTCAGCTTGATGTTGATATCTGGATTACAATGTTTAGTTTCTTTAATGGTTCCTTTATGTGTTCTTTTTTGTTCATCTCTTGAGGCTTTACATGAAACAAAGGTCCAATAATGGTCCACTTTGTTGCTAGCTCTTTTTGCAATAAATTATTTGTTTTCTCCCAAATCATGGGTAGATTTGTAATACTTACGTATTTGATAGAAAGAGAACAATTGATCCCTTCCTCCTCGTCCAAGTATCGTAGTACCCTTTGAAATTTTAATGGCAACCGATTTCTTAGCAAATGTATTGTTAAATTGTTATATTATTAAATTGTTATGAATTTATCTTGATTGTATTATGATTAACAAGAGGTATGCCTATAGTTATCTTTAAAATGGATGATATTTGTTGTATAGATGAATGAATCCATTAAAAAAAGAACCTCTATATGGCAAAAACACACACACACACACAAAAAAAGGGGTGAAGTGGCTGCATGTTCATTTATTATTTACCTATCGTCATAGCCTTCCATTTTGTGTACCTTTCTTCTTTACCAAGCACAAGACAATTCCCAAATGTAGCTTTTCCTTTGATTCGTTCTACCAAGCTTCTGGTCTTGTGAGTCCAACGTACAACCCATCTCCCTTCCAAATTTATTTCAAAACTTGTATCATTATGCATTGACCATTTTGCCCTCCGTGCTTCAATTCAAGAAAATTAGTAGGTGAACCCCACTTGCCTTTAAAACAGCCCAAGAGCTAGTTTTTTATATCCTCACCACCCTTTTTGTCCCTCTTCATTTTTTGTTGTTAGAGATTTTGAGATTAAGAATTTGAAAAAAGTATTCTTGTTGTGTTTGTAGAAACAAAATCAGGAACAACAATGGAGGGGATTGAATGGAAAGGAAGTGTGTACCGAATCAAAAAGTGTGCGTTCGACTTTTTTTCGATGGAGGATGATCTTGTTGATGATGATGATGACTCTTGGGAGCTCATGGGTAGAGATCTCAGATTGAAATCCACCTTCTTGTTTTGTGATCTCAATCAGGTCATAGCGAGTTCTTGCGATGAATATCAAAAGAAGACTCTTACAGATCTTGCAAACAAATTGTTCTACTGCATGGAAGAGGTAAATTTCCTTGTTTGTATTCCAATGAACATATTATGTAATCTTATAATTTTAGGTGTTTAAGATTGAAGAGATTGGATCATGAATGTCTTAAATTGATTATGTGGGTCAATTTTAGTTTAATTACTTGTTAAGATTTATAGTTTGATCATTCTAAAGTTAAAATATTAGGGGTCTAGTCTGTATGCATAGAATACAAGTCATTGAAAAGTAGTTGGAATATGTTATCAATAAATTAGATCAAAAGCATCTGATCTAAAATGGGGGCATATGGTCCTACATTCTCTCTTAATAAATCTTAATCAAATATCAAATTGAACAAGGAACCAAAGAGCACTATTTGGTATGTGGTCAAATATGGTGAATATATTCTTACATCATGAAACTTCATAGCACAATGTTGTCATATCTCACGATCTTGAATTGTTTTTGGTCGTTATTTGTCATGAAATTTGCAGCTAGGCCATGCTGTGGAGAGTAGGAGCATCTCACTAACTCAAGAGCATTACAATGGCACGGCAATTGTGCTGCAAGAGGTTATGACTGCTTTGATTCACCCTACATTGGACTAGAGAATGAAGCAATCTTGGGAGAAGAAGAGGAAACGGAGAAGATATGAAGAAGATATTTCTCCTTTTCTTAAAAAACAGAAGATGAAGTTGTTTTTCTATATAATTGCATGTGAATTAGGAGTTAGCATGTTACACATGTAAATAGCAGCTGATGTCTTACAAAATTTTTTGATCATCACAAAATCCATTTTCGATACGAATAGGTGTATCAGATGTTTGCTCCAGTTCAGAATAGTTCTATACAGCGGACAAAGAGAAGACCAGAAAGGCTAGAAAGAACAAAAAAAAAGTGCATTGAAGTTTGGCTGTCACATGCATTTCATGTTGTTTTGTTAGTTACTATTCTCCTCAAAGTGCCTCTGTTTTGCCCTCAAAAGGAAACGAAATGAGAGGACTTTTATAGATGAATTGAAGTTCAAAACAATCCGATAATCCAACGGGAAAAAAAATGACTTTTAAGGAATTAATATGTGTATGTTTGAAATTCTATTTCTCCAGCTGGTGTGCATCAAATACAGGTTTTGTTATATGGATTACAATCATAACAAGTTATTGAACTAAGAAAGTAACATGCATCTAATAATATATGAACTGTCATTGAAGCATTAGGTAACTCCATAAATATGTTATCTATTCTTTTTATAATAAATATGAATTTTCATGAGTAACTTAATATATGTCGTGAATTATTCTGCTAAAATCAGGTTAGAGAAATTTCTTTTGCCTTTCTTTTCTTTGAAATCCTAGTATTTGCTTCTAAACGTTTTCAAAGAAGTAACATACTCCTTGCTGTTCTCTTGGAAACATGTAGTCCAGAGTAAAATGTCCCACACACTTTAAGGATTTTTCTTACCGAAGGAAACAAATTCAAGGCTCATTGCCATCCTCACCTTGAAAAAAAAAGGCAAATACTATTAATTAATGGAGTCTACTAACACCTAACTTTTCCAAATACCATACATAAATCAAAGTTATTTTCACCTCTGGAGACAAGTTGTGATACAAGTGAAAAGAAAAAGGAAAAAAGAAATGCCTTATCCAATCCTCTGCATGCATTCGTAACCACTCAAAATTTCAAGAAAACATATGGAACATCAATTTCAGCAATAAAGCTCTGACTCAGCCTTCAGCAAAGCTCATCCTCTAGAAACTCAACCAACAATTTCCATAACAATCTCCATTTTCATCAACAAAACAGCAACAACAATAGACGCTCAATCCACATTCAAAGAAGGGAATGCCTTTATGAATCAAAATACTGCAACTTTTGACAGTAGAGTTTAGGAACTCTTGGCGTGATTTCGGCAAAGATAACAAAGTCAGCATATCAAGAAGACAACTGTAAGCACAAGTTGTTTCATAACGAAATCACATTCAATTCATTCAAACTGCAAGCCGGCTCCAAGGGGAGAAAGAGGAAGATACCTCTAGGCCAAAATGTAGAGAAAAAGTGAGATCAGAAAAATAAAGTAAAATAAAATAAAATTGTTGCCCTTGTTGTACATTGCTGGGTGCTACAAACTGATGGCTATACCTAGTTTAAATTTCGTAAACTATCAATGAGGAAAAGATGATACAGTAAAAGTCCAGAAAAAACAGTTTCATTCCCTTGTGGAGCATAGAGGGGCTTTCTTTACACATGGAAGCCAGAGATATAAATCTCAGAGGCTGTGCTCAAAGCCTAGGGATCATGAGGAGGCTTTATTACCTAAGGTTTGGTGTTCCTTCTGATTCCGAAATGGGAACTTTATAAATTCCTCAGCTTGCAAACTAGGATACACAAAAGAGAGACAACTCCCACGACTTCGTACATTTACAGAAGAAAGCAGTGTAATTACACAGACCTGATGAACCCCAGGACTAAGAGCACGATGTCATCATGTTGGTTCTTGTTTAAGACCGATACCACTGGGTGCCCCGTATATTGGTGCCTTCAAAACAAAAGAACAAAATCAATGATAAAAATAATTATTGTTAGGATCAAGAATATTATTATGTTATAAAGATTTTGACTAATCATTCTCCTAACGAGGTTTATGAGCATATCTAAAACATGTAAAAACAATTCAGAAGCTGTACGCAATTTGCTTGCTTGTGTTGTTACCTTAATAATAGATATAATTTATCCAACTGCCCTCATAATGGTTCTTTCAAGGCTTTTGCTTCTGATTTATTTTAAACACTAGCTTCTTATTTTAAAATCAATAGTTAAGATTTGATGTTTAACAGCATTAAGGAAAGTTGAAGGAGAGGAAAAGAAATGAAGCATAGACAGCAGAATTGCAATATTTGATCAGACTGCCTCCAGAAGACATCTACCTGCTAGATCTCTGCAAAGATGGTTGCTGCACAATGACCTTAAGTACAGTCCCAGAAATATCTACGGTCATTGCCAATTGAAATCTATCCCACAATGCAGTGACCTATTGCTAAGGTTTTGTCCTTGCTGTAATCTTAGCCTTATGCCAAAAATTCAGTTTGCATGTTACATACGAGCACATGAGAAATCCAAGGCGCTTGATTTGAAGGTTTAATCTCTTCAGCATTACTGGTTACACTGTTTTTGCATAATCTTCAATTGGGTCAAACTTCCCACCACGATGTTTCACTAATAAGAATTTGATGGAACATTTTAAGACAAGGGCTAAAAGATTGTGATACACAGTACTAGCTTCTAACTGAATGATAAAACCTTAAAAATCTTGCCACCATACGTGCTATAAAAAGATAAAGATGATCTAACAATTCCAGCATTGTTGAATTATGAATGCTAGCTAGAGTGCTAGTTGAATGATCACCGCATCACATCCTTGTCACTAAATTGGAGCTCATAATTCACACCTGATTCATTAGGCTGGAAAAAACCGCCATAAGGTTAATTGCCTTATAAACAGAAATCCTTATTTACTTTGCTAACTTTTTGAGAAAATTGGTATTCCCTTAATTTATGGAACTATTATGAAATTGACATCTAGACTTCCTTATCTGCTAACAAAGTTCTGATATCAGACAACTGGACTACAGCTTCCAGTTTTACGTTGTGGTGGAAAGACATACCCTACTGTTGATGACCATTGTCTGAAAATGATTTCCAAACTTGGTGATTTTCATCTGCTAAAGTTTGGCCCTATACAACACTTCATTGTATCTCACCAACTAAGAGTTCCATACACGAGATTCTAATGTGATGCAACTTATAAAAAATAGCTGATACGTTGAGCCAGATATCAGTCCTAAGATAAGTTCTATAAAACGTCAGGAAGTAACATCATATATGAAGCTGGAAGTTAACTGCTGACTCTAAGTATGACCTACTAGCTAAAATAATTCTAACAGTAGAAAACTTGATGTTAAACAGCTTCATTGCAAATTGATCCACATAAAGATAATTCACCTCTTACGTATAATGAACTTCAAAATTGTAGATGAATTCTCCTACATTCTTCAGGCAGTCTCTTTTTTGAACAACACAGTGAGTAATAAATAAAATTATTTGAAGATGTCTATAGATTGAAGGACAAGAAACATGGAGAGCAAACTTATTTCCTAGATGCTGCTGGAATTTTGAATATAATTATCATCTTTGTCCTATTCATCGACAAGAAAATGGAGCCATCTTGACCTATTCTTTTGCAATGCCTGGATGAACCCTTTTCCTCCATTTAGGTTTTTAAGTTATATTTCTGCTTTTCTTTTCTTGTATTACATGTTACATGTTAGTCTAACAAGTAACAAGAATTCAAATATCTGAACAACTTCCAGCGGAAACAACTCAGTAATTTTTCCCCCAAAAATAAGAGAAAATCTTACCACATTAAATAATTAATCAAACAAAATGGACATATATGCAACTGTTTATGTTTATTAAGACAAGAATTCAGTTAAAAATAAACAACCATCCATATCACATCACGAGATTTCTGGCAACCTTGCAAATAAAAAAACATACAAGTTAAGCCTCACCTGACTTGTACCCGGTAGAATGGAACTTGCAAGATCCTCATTTACTGAAACCGGCAACGGAGGCATTTGACTCATTATTCCAGGTGCTTGACACATGCTGTTAAAAGAAAGAAAGAAATCTCCTTCACAAACCACAATAAACGCCCGCAATTGCATATTTCAACTAACAATAGGTCAGACTCAACTATCTAATTTCAAAGATAATACTACACCTGCTGAGAATGGCTGTGATGTTATTGCTTGTCCTTGAAAAGAGTTCAATGTTATCATGCAGCTGCAAATAGATGAAACAACAAAGCAAAAAAAGGGATAAGGCAGTTACAGTTCAATCTTTGAAAGATGAATAAATAATACACAAGGAAAACTAAACTGAGATTGTTTCCTTAATACTAGGACCTGATTACTCTGTTTACTATAGAATAATTTGACGAAATTCAGGTTACCCATGGATTACAAGCCAGGGAGGAGCAAGATTAGTTACAGATCAAGCCTAACCTAACTTAATTATTAAGCAAATTGAATAAGAAGAAGAAGAAGAAGAGATGACACTGATGATGTGAATATTTGAAGTTTTGAACATATAGGGGCTTTTTTGTGACATACCAGATCCTCTCGATTCTAATTTTCTATGAGGGTAGAGCATAGAATCCCAGCAGCCAATGAGGAAGAGGGAGGGAGGGATAGACTACATTATCAGTTTTCACCAAATGACAGATTCAAGCATAAGCTCTTACTAGAACATACATACACACAAAGATGGTAGAAAAGACAGTGAATAGCAATTGTTTCTTTGACACTGGTTACTGTTTAAGCTGTATTAAACTGCCAATAACAAATTGGGAACACTATGTTGAGGCAGTTGAGATTTTCTAAAAAATCTTCCCCACTCAACTTTCCTCTACTTTTTTGAGGCTCTGAATTCAATGGATCAGCCCTAACCACACATGTGTGCGCATGTGCACACACACTGACACACAACACAGAATAGTCAAATATATATAGAATTTTTCATCAGTCTACTTACTTTCGTATTAGAAAATTTTTGACTTAATATTAAACGTTTAAGTCTTCAAGATTCTATAACGGGCTTAAAGAGGTTAATCATTCAGGGGATAAAAACAGACAAATTGTTTGTATGAAGAGAGGAGAGAAGAGTTTGGGGTAACTTCTGGATAACCAGAGGGGATGAAACACAATTTTTTCTCAAAGTATGAGTAAAAAAGCATTACCTTATATGTCGAGAGATTAGTTGAAATCTGGTTAAGAACTTGAATATTTTCGTCCAGTAGCCGCTGCGTCACACCGTCAATGACAGGCACTATTTATACAAATAAATACAAATTTATATTGCAACAGATAGTACAGGAAAACAATAAATACATATGACATCAATTAAGCAGATTGTCCTATGTATACATAGTCAACATGCTCTAAATGAGTAATAAAGCTATAATGAGACGCTGAGTTGACACGCTGCATAAGAAGAAGAGATCAGAAGCAGGAACTTACAATATGCCTTCCCCCCCCCCCCCCCATCATTGCCTAAAACTACCAATATACTTCAATACGCAAACAGGTCGATCAGAAAAAAAATGTTAAAAAGCAGGGGAAAAGGAAAAGAAATTGAAGCGAAGGATCAGCATCGAAATTGATGGTGTCCTAGGTGTAGCATAAGTAAGTTGTGCCTCCGTGCATCAAAAAAAGCAAAGGGAGAATTATGTTTTGAGTAAATGGCATTCTCTGGGAATATAATATGTTGGATGAATATGGAAGGGTGGTCAGTGAAAAGACCAAAACAATCAGATGTACTGTATTGAGCAGACTAATGGATATGCATAGTAAGAAAGTTTAGCAAGGCGTGGTCCGTGGTGTTCAAAACCTGGTTACGGCCCACCTCGCGAGATTTAAATGTGATCGATTAGCTACTATGCTTGAAATACATTTGACCGAAAACGCCTAACTGGGTCCTGGTTTATCTCCCAAATATTGGATTGATCCAATGCCCGAATCCCTTTTTACTGAATCCATCAACCACCTGAACCAGGCTTTTTTCCACATTAAGCCAACTAGATATAAGACATTTTCCACCGAACTCTGCCCTGGCTCATTAATACCCAGTTAATTCTTTGTCACACCAAGTCATGCCTTACATTTCAATTTATACCTCTTTGTGGAGTATTTCAATCTCTCTTTGAAGGTTCTTTCTCAAGGGACTAGGTATACAAAGTGGGACAGTTATTGATAGGTGCCAGTGGCCCTTCCTTCTTCTGGATGCAGAAGGTATGTGTGACTCATGTCTTAAGGCAACACAATAGCATGACTAAACTATTAAAAACAGGTGCTTATAACCTGATCATATTAAAGGAAATAAACATTTGTCATATTGATAATGAAGTAGAAGAGAATTTGGAAGTGTGCCAAATTAACAAAAGTATGAATCTTGCCATCTGACTTTGGTGGATCATAAACCTGAGAAAATAACAGTTTCAGACTGTAGTGGACCCTAAATGAGAAAACAATTTGTTTCTGAAATAACTTTGATGATTTGGATGATTCTTCTAATATCTAGATGGTTATTTGCATTATACGCACATGTGCCCACACGCCCACACATAAACATACATACGGACATCGAAAAAATGGATAGGGGGTGACAACTTATTTTATTAAATGAGCAACTAGGAATAGGCTAGTGATGAGGCCTACCTTGCTAGTCAAAATGGAGTATTGGACCTCACCAACTTTCTCTATTGGTAGCTCATGTTGCTGAATGAGGTGGCATCTCACATCTAGCAACCCCAGATATACACACATATACATTGTGTGTAATATGGAAAGTTTCAAATGTAAATTTCTCAGTGAGTAAATTTGCCAAGGTTGTGGAAAGCGAAAAGCGAAGCGGTGAGGTGCCACTCGTGCTTTTTAGGGCTTAAGTGGTTCAAAGGGGGGAAAGCATGAAGGAAAAAATGGTCCAAATCCTATAATCCTATTAAAATTTTAAATATAGATAAAAATTCAACAGATAAAAATTCAACAAAAACAAGAAAAATTAAAGAAAAATCTAAAAATTATAAAACAAGCCAAAAATGATAGAATTTTTTTTCTTTCTAGAATCCATATTTGATGATATTAAATACATAGCTATTAAATATAATTAATATTAAATACATACCCATTAACTACAATCATCATTATATTGCTCCAAGTTTCTTCTGAACTCCGAACTTCAAGTTAGAATCCTTTTAGACAAAACAGAGGAAAAAAACCATGTAAAAATCGGAAAAAAGTCATGTAAAGTTGTTCAACATCTTAACAATAGTGCTTGGGCCGCTTTTCGACCGCTTTAAACCACTTCTAAGCCGCTTGTGGCTGCTTTTTTACCACTTCGATCTCAAAAGCGCTTTTCGGCCGCTTTTCGGCCTTATTGGAGGGGCAAGGTGCTACTTCTGCTTTTTTTTTAGCGCTTACTCCCGCTTTATACAGCATTGATATTTGCAGTGTAGCTTAGCTATGTAAAAAACTGTCACTTCTGTGTTGACACAAATAAGAACACACAAATAAGAAAAATGCAGTGTTCTTACTCATCAATTATGAGTAAGAATATACAAATATACATATGTATGTCTATGTTACTTGGGTACGTCCATCTTGAAGCCGTACCCACTTTAATTTAGAACACTTGTCAAACATTTCATGGACATAAATCCTACACATCACAAAACTCGTTGGGTTCCAAATTATTATTTTAATGGTTGCTTGAGTGTCTAGTTCAAAAAACGAGTGTTTTGACAATTTATAATCCACATAATAAAAGGAACATATAAATGTTATGGGCCAATTACTGATCTCATACAAACTATTAATTTTACTATATAATATGTGTATAAACATTTATATAGACGTGACCCTGTACCCTACATTTTTGCAAATTTGTCGTGTCCCGTACCCGTACCTATACCCATACCTGGGCAACATAGGTATATGTGAACATACAACCCAGCAGACACACATGCACTTACACACATGCATAAGGTGGCTAACCAAATAGTTAACACAAACAAAATGAGCTGTATCAGAGTAAGATAAGAGGCTAAATGTCAATAAAAGTAAATAGAATACAGTTGGTTATAAACTGAATGTCAAATTAAAGATGCAGCTTTATTTATCAAATTCGAGATGCAGATCTTGCTTGATGAGTAGGCTAATTCAGATGAAACAATTATAGCATGGAAGCTACCAACCTTCATAAGAAAATCGGTTGTTGTAATTTGAATTTTGCAACATGAAGGAATATGCAGCCATATTGTCCGGCGGAACAAAACGCATATTTGCTTTTGTAGAAGAATCCGTCATCTTTTCCTGAAGAAATACACATCTTTCTTTAGGTTCAGACATTAAAGATAAGTACAACAAATATTAGATGTCCCATGTTCTGCTGTCTGTTATAAACAAAACACCATGTATGCCACGAAGTTCATTGTTGTACCATATCACGAAATTATTGAGCAACAGAACGCATTAAAAAACAACCACTTGCAGCCTAAACTTCTTTGGAAATATGTGTAATTCAGACATTTATAGTCAAAAGATCAAACCCATGAAGAGGATAAAAAATTCACCTTTCTGTTTTGGATCTTCTTTGCTGCATAAGTTTCTTCCATCTTCCGCCGTTTCACATTTTCCTTCTTCTATCACAAATGAGAAAGTGTCACAAACATATGCATAACTCATTTGGATAAAGTAAGAAGCATTTCAGTGTGACAAAAAGGGTTAGATGTACATATGTACACGAGAAGAATAATAGGAAACCATATCAGATTATAACGCTGCTCGTGGAACTAAAATACAGTTCACGCATTTGATAAATCCATGTATTGGCCAATGAAGGACCAATTTCCAGAAAAATAGTTAATACGGCATTTCCTGGTGCAGCAAATAAGGTACTCTTGCCACCAACAAGATTCTCCTATACAGATACTAAGAGTATTACTGACGCGCACAAGATTAATCCATATGAGCAATGCAGAAGCAAATAATGCATGTACAGATTTAATAAAGATGAATCATGCTAAACAAGGATCCTAAGAATATTAGTTCCAGCAGTTTATCGGGAGCTTATGAGTGATGAATTCATTCTCCATTCGGGATGGCAACTAAAATTTATGGAACAGCAAACCAAAAACGCCAGCTTGTAAAGGAATAAAACACAAATGTGTCCCATCCAGGTCCAAGCTATATTATTCCTGTATCCGGTGCCACAGCTGCAAACGGCACAATCTTTACAACAAAATACCCTTTCTGTGACAAAATGTATCCTTTATTGAGGTCCAAGTATTTTGGCTTCAATCTGAAGTAAATGCAGGAAAAGGAGTAATTAAAAGCAGTGGAGGCTGGCTTATTCAGAACAAATTTCGACAGCACAAAAAAAGACAAGCCAGAAACTTGTTGAAATCAATCAACCATCCATCATCATAAGATTATAATGCAACAAATACTACGCATCCAAATAATACGACAAAACATAATTATCCCAAATTAACTTAAAAATAACGAATTGACAACCAAGAGTAAGAGAACGATTTCAAGTTAAGACATCCCGCAAGACTTGGGAATGAAATAACATTTGCCTCTTTGGGTCATTTGATGCCTCTGAGATTAGTATGCTTCACTATAGCAAACCACATCATCTATTCTTTATCTACACTATTACATGAACCCGGGGAAATTAAAAGACATGATCCTTAACTGCATGAGCCAGAAAAGAAGTAGGTATTACCCACTGAAAACTGCCATAAGAATCCTATACATGGTCCTTTCTTTCTTTCCTATACATGGCCATTTCTTTCTTTAAGCCTTAGAATTTTGAGTTCTTGGAGTTAGTCAGTCAGATTGATATCAATTGTAAAACTTGGTCAACTCTTTTGTTGGTTCCAAGACGAGCCATGCTCCACAGCGCAACCACATTTTGATGGAAAAAGGGTTAGATAATGATGATTGACATCTTATATATGCTAAACATGACTGATATTTATTTACCGTTCTATATGTCCTCATTAAGTAAAGAAAAACCAAGACTAGACCAAAATAACAAGTTGATAGGAACACAAAACTTCACCTATACAACAAGTACAAGGACCTTTCCATTTGCCATATGATCTTCAAGTATATTTGCTACAGCACCAAGCCCATCTCCCACTCCACTAAACTTCATTCTATGTTACTAACTATCCTGAAATAGGTACCATGGAATTTTGTAGCATCCAAAAAAAAAGTAAAACTACTCTTTTCCTGGGACCAGCTCCACCAATTAGCCTCATGACAAGCTCCTACTTTGGCTGGGTGAGTAATAAATGTGCAAGAGGAACCACATCTGAGGAAATACATTCCAGACGACAAAAACGGTGTCAGAAAGCACAGAGAACTCTTCAAATAAAAGACTATCATGAGGGACAAGGCACACACGTTATTCCCGAATGTACTGTCCATGCCTATGTACTGACTCTCTCGCAATTCCAACAATTCATTTGAGAAGGCTCTCAGTTTTGATAACCCAGTTCAATCAAAATCTTAGCATCAGTGACCAATGTGCTAGTTAATGGTTGTGCATCTGTCTGAAAACCTTTTTTTGCCAAATAGAGCGTCTTCAGGCTCTCACGAGCTTGAAGACAGGCATTTCAACAAGTCTAACTCTGAGCCCGGCTAGAAGACAAGAATGCAAATAAAATGATGGAAATATAGTTATTTGTGCTTTGAAATGATCATGGTGACAAACAGCTCGCTGGATTGAGAACATCAGTGGAATACACAGTCTATGCACTCAAATCTGCATTGATTTCTTTAAAACTTAGTCACTTCTCTTAGACTAGTATTTCCATAGATTTGACAATGAAAAACAGCAACTGGGCTCAGGACATGAACTCACTATAAAAGCACTTACTGCAGAAAGAAAATTGCCAAAAATGGATTCTCAATTTTCCAACATTAGACAAGACTTATTATATATTATACAAAGATACACTAAGACATCCTCCATGAATCCAACATCCATGATCATTCACTCTAGATCACTAAGTTTATGTCTCATAGTGAAAGATAACGACATAATTTCCTCGGGAAATAAACATAATGACCATGAAGGCATGAACTACATTAATTGAACAAAACCCAAATGTTTAAATTGCTAAAAAAGAACAAGAACTCACAGCCATCCACCTACACCTCAATGCAACGTCCCTTACTGTCTTCTCCGGCAAAGACGCAGCAATTTTAACATACTTCATCATACCCTGCTCATCAGCAAACCTAAATCATCAAAAAAAGATTAGCTCAATTTCATAAAACCAAACTCAAAAGTTACGAAAACCCCAGAATCATCATCACCACCCCGAGAACTACCTACTTGATGAGACCATCATTCAGAATCGCCTGCTCATTGAAAGACCAATCAACAGCCAACCCCGTATCGTGCTTCAACCCCGGCAACGGCTCCACTAAAAGATTCCCATAATTCCCCAACCCCGAAATCATCGCCGACGAAGTACTTGCACTATTATTACCAAAATTGCCCCCACCTCCCCCCAAAATCAGCCCTCCCCCATTCAAATTCCCATTCGCCGCCCCCGAACTGGAACGGAGAAAAAACCACGTGCTGTCGTAGAAAAGAAAAGGGCGGGAAAACGCCGCCGCCGGCGCCGCCGTGGTAGAAGAAATTCATGTTGGAATCCGCCGCCATCATCATAAAAATTACTCCTTTCTCATTGAGAGAGGGTTTTGGAAACCCTAGCTAAATAAAGATTCTGCTTTTCAGGGTTTGATATGTTTGAAGGGGAGGGCTTTGTTCTGATTCTTTGTCTGCTCCAATTGCAGGCCACCGCTTTTTGAGGGTTTCACTGTTTGAATTAAAAACAATTGGCGATGAATGAATCAGATCTCTTGGAATTTTGGGGAACTGTACGGGACTCGAGGTGATGCTTGGAGCACTTGAGCCGATGCCAATTATTGCGGAGCCCCTTCCCAAATATTTTGATTTTCGATTTTTTGGCTTTATTTTGGAGGAGTTTTTGGGTTTTGTTTTCTTTTTCGTTTTTTGTTTTGGTTTGGGTCCTTGTGCTTTCCCCCCTCTTTTTTTTTTTTTTTCTTTAACCTCCCTTTTCTTTTTCCCTGCAACTGGCAGGGGAGCGAGCGCCCATTACCTACGACTCGATGCTTTTCTCAGGAGAGAGAGAGAGAGAGACGAGAATTAGGGCAATTACGAAAAATGGCATTTTGAGGTTAAATATTCTGAAGGGAAAAAAATACCCACAGAGACGGGAGGGGAGAGGTTTATTTTTCTGTTGACACGTGGGGCCCCCTTGAATGTTGGGGTGAATGATTCGTTACAGCTTTGGCTGCATCGTCTGCTTTTTGTCCAGCCCACCGATTGGGGAGTTGTTTGTTTGCATGAATTCGGTAGGTACTCTGCAATTTTGGTACTGAAAAGTATATAAAATCCATATTTTTTTCTAAATGTATATTTGGAGTTGGAACAAAGTGATACATGTTACTTAACACAAAATATGAATCAGTATATACATCACATGTAATCAGAAAAAAACCCATGAAAGTAGGTATAAAGTGTACGGAAATATATAAATACAAACAATACACACACCCTTCTTATATAAAAAAAATTTAGAAACAAATTTGTAATTGCCGTCCCACTCAAGGATAGTGGCATTACGTACATCTGAAGAATCTTTAATAAAAGAAGCTCACTTTCGTTCCCAAGTGGAAGAATCTCTCTCACAACAGAACCTAATTTCCATCGCGAAAACGCCCCCAAGCGGGAGAATCTCGCGTCTTTTTACAATCACCGCCCAGTCTTCGACCTCGAGCTCTCCTTGCTCCCCGTCGTAATCCAGTAATCTTCACCTAGGCGGTGACCAGAATCGATACAACCACCTTTTCGAGAAATTTACGACAAAGAAAGGAATTAGGAAAGAGAGAGATCTCCTCCCTCCCTCTCGGTTGTTCGTACGCTTCCCCGATTATAAAAAAGATTGCCCAACTCAGATCAATCGACACGGTCTCCCTGCTCTCGAGCCGGACCTGCGCAGTACGTACAGAGTCCCGACGCGAGCTTTGAAAAGTGCAGCCTGCTACCAACGGCCGTGTCGACCGCTGGCTGGTGCTGGCGATAGGCCAGCCACTTATTCATGCACACGTGGCGTATATTGATTGGGCACTCCTGGTGGCCAGCATGGACGAAAGGCCCACACGTGCATGGGTAGTGCCCTCCCTAGGCAGAGCCAAAATTATAAGAATAAGTATATATATATATATATGATATATATACTATATATTATATATATATATTATATATATATATATATATATTAATATATATATATAATAATATATATATATATATAATATATATATATAGCAGCTTTGCTACAGGGACCCAAAGTATGGGACGGCAATAGAGGGGACAAGTGATGTGTTCCCCTCCTATTGGATGACGTGAGTTGAGCTCTATCATTTTGATGGCCAACTCACATCCAATAGGAGGGGGACACTCACTTGTTACGCCTTATTGCGTCCCGATATTTTGCGGTGCCTTAAAGAAATTTTCATATATATAATTAATAATATACTATAGTATAAGTTAGATGAGAGAGACGAGAGAGAGAACCATGGGTATACTTGCTACGCAATGATGCCTTGCATATGATGTGGACACATCTTGTCGCATACATCAAGCACCTGAAGAGGCAGCTTCACCAACTTCAAGGTGTGCATGTATGGACAAGATTGTCCACATCACTACAAGGATCATTAGCGCCCAAGTATACCCATATTCCTTATATATATATATTATATATATATATTATATATATATATATATATATATATATATATATATATATATAAAGAAAAAAGTGAAGATAAAGTAAAAGAAAACAAATAAGAGTTTTCTGATTTGCGCGGTTGCAACAAGGACCCACAGGTGGAGAAAGGATCGGCTGTTCTCGTCAAATCACAAATAGTACTAGTCTGAATAGGCGAGGCGTCGATAAAAGTAATCTGTAGCATGTTAATTTTTACATCAACATGCTAGCGTTACATTATTGTCGTCCGATAAAGCTAACATTTTGATGATGTGAGTTACTATAATTTTAAAATACAAGAAACGCTTATAATATTATAAAACCCGTCGCATAGGAAAAATCTTAACATCGTCCTTCTCCGCGTTTCATTATTTTAGCACCTCCGCATTTTTTGCATCATGCATGCATCCATCATGAGTACCGAAAAGCTAATGCTATTTAAATACGAAAAGATATTCGTTAACATAACAATGTGGAGGAGTCTCGCGTATACGAGCGGGTCATTCGGGCTCCGAAACAACACAAAATAAAGAGCAAAAGATTAATAAATAGGGGGGGAAAGAGAGAGAAACTCGAATAGTAGCTTCTGGATCGTGGGGTTCAACAGGGGGCGGCGCTTGAGAATTTGACCCGACGGCGACCTCACCACTAAGGGAGAAGATACCGGGTGAAGGGGAGCCACGGAAGGCGCCCTCGGGCACGCCGTGCGAAATGAATCTCTGCTTGCTTTTATCGCGTTGTTGATGTTAGCTTTTCCATCACCCACGGAAGTGCTCCGGTCCTCGGTTCTTAAAAAGCGTGGGCCCCCCCTCGTTCGAGCCCAGCAGCGTGGTGAGAGATTCCTTCGCCTGGCGAATGCTTGACTTTGTTTTCTAGCACCGTCAAAATCAACGATTCCCTCACTTTAAAGGTTATTTAGTGCATGGTTCTGATTAAATTTCTCTATCAGCATCGGGGGTCTATCTGCAAAATAAATAAATTAAATTTCGAACCCAAGGGGGTCTATGCGTATCGACCTCTTTTTTTATTTTCTTGAAACGTTGAACCTTTTCGGTTTCTTTCTTTCATCCCCCCCCCTCCCCCCACCCTTTCTTTGAGCACACGAATATAAAGACATTTATCAATATGCCACATAATTGTTGAATTTTTACCCAATCTATGCATCATGTTTAATTATTTGCCATTAAACAAAACCTCAAAACTCAAAAATTAAATTTCAGCCCACCAATTGACCATCATCCTTCTGGTCCTCCAACCATCATCGATCATATACTACTTCATTAGTTCTGATGGTGACACTTGGGCCATTAATCTTCTCTTTAATTTCTTCGTAGACTCTTCATTAGGCATTTTCTTTTCTACGAATAAAGGAGCTACATTATTACGAGATTACAATCACAACAACATCGAAAAGCCTTTGTGCTAAATTAAATTTTGGGTTCGGCTACAAAGTAACATTCTTCAATTCCGTTCTTTTTTTTTTTCCTCTCCTCTAGTAAGTTAATTATTATCATGTTTTTTATAATTGCTTCCGACCGATTCTTTAAAGTCTACGTCTAGATCTCATTGTTCTATTGACGATAATCTTACACATTTTTTTTCATTGATGTGCTAAGAGGATTCCCTTATAGATGACCGAACGATTTTAATCACTTCGATCTCTAATTTTATCCTCAATAGGAGCAACATCTAATCTCCTACAAATGCATTTAGTTTCCATCCTACCTTTTAGCATATACTCATAAGACCACCATTACAAAATTAGTTCTACTACATAACTTTTAGGAATCATATCATGTAGACCGGACTATGTTTTATGCTGGCTGCTGGATACGTAGCGCAGCCATATTCATTTATCCTGGCTTAGAGCAGACAATACTGTTAAAATATCGCATAACAGTGACAAAGTTATAAATCATTGCAAACTTGAAAGAGAAATATAAAACTTTATAGGGTAGCAACTTGATTGTATTTTGTTTCGTTGATTATCCTAGAGATAAACAAGGATAGCATGAAAATTACAGATTTCGAAATCTATGATCTGAACTCCTACAAGTTTAGTTGAATTGATGATGATTTCTGCTATATTTCTAGTTTGTCCAATAAAAAAACATGTTGACTCGGCTCATTCCGAATGAAGTAGTAGGTCATCATCCCTGCACACGTACGGTTCCATCCTTAACTTTATCAAGCATTTAATTAGTGCTTAATTAGTTAGGAGTTAGCATAATTTATTCTACTACTAACCAACCACCAAAAAGCTTTGAAGTAGCATATAAACAACTCTCTCAACTTTTATTGCGTCCTTCCATCTGGGAGCAAAAAGTTGAGATATAAGAAGATGAGAGAGGAGAAAGGGAAGTGGTCAGTGAGGAGGATGGGAGGGCCATTAGTTGAAGGGGGGTGGCGTTACCAACCAATGGCTTGAGAGCTTTTTAGCACAAAAGGAGAAGGGAGAGGGGGATATCATCATCATAAAAAAGATACCACTACTTAAAAGAAAAGTAAATGGGATCAAATTCCTCTCTATGCAATTTGAAAAGGGGAGATTACAACAGAGATGCAAGTTGGGACAACTTTTTTATGCCGGTGTAATTTTTGGTAGTGTTTCTTCTTCTAATGACGTTGGCCAGTAGTACTAGGCCCCTGTCCAGTGGAGAAATTATCAAGTGAATTTCTTATACACTGTATAGTGCCAAGGGTTAATTGCCTCAAGAC